TTGGCGAATAATCTAAAGGCTTCTAAAGGCGGTTCTCACCCAGATCACGAAATTCGCTTTTGCCATATAGGTTCTCTTCTTTTTGAAGAGCTATTGATTAAAGGCTATCGTGTTCTGATAAGTGTGGAAAAGCTGTGTCAGATACCTTGCACTGCACCAGAGACGGATTCCAAACAACGCCAAGAGACACTTGTCATTCAGTGAAAGTACATGCTGCTTTTCAAGTTTTCTGGTCGAAACAACAAATGTTTGCCATGTCGTGAAAGACACTCAGGAAGTCCATCGGAAGGCAGGGTTCTTGCCGCATCGCTACCAATGACGCCTTTTCTGGGTTTCAGAATCGAGAGTGGCCAAATATGCTTTCAGTCAAAGTTGTTCCCTCAGCCCCTAATCGCTGCGAAATACCACGGCGGAAATGCTCTAAAGAGATGATTGACTAGCCATAAGGTTTACATGCGCTTTACAATGGATGTTCAAAAGTTATTTCTGGAGATTTGCCAACGTACACACGGAAATGGGCAAAGACGTTTGGGAAAACCTATTTGGCACTCACTTGCTCCAGCTTCTAAAATAGCTGAAAAACCCTTGACAATTTTTGTGCGCTGTGTGTTCCTTGCAGCAGCCTCGTCCTCTTACCCTCCAGCTACTAAGGAGGTAAGAGGATGTTGCGATTTTACAGAGCAATTCTCTTGAATTTTCAGTAGGAAGGGAATAGATGATGAAAATAACGTCAATTCTTAATAATCGGCTTCAGAAGTGTTAGGTTTTCTCAAAATTTACATTTAGTGCTCTAAGAATTCCTAGAAAAAAAATGTTCAAGGCGTGGAACTTTAGTGAGGTTGTAGCCGAATTAGCCTACCTGAACATTTAATCGGCTCACTTACACCTTCTGTATTCCGTGGCTATAATAATACTTCAATTCATCTAGAACCTATTTCTGAGTTTCATTCTTTATCATAGCAGATCGGGATCCTTCAAACACCAAGCGAAAAGAATCAGCCAAAAAGATAGGTGAGAGGACACTACCTCAATTCACGGTGCACCGATGGTTCACTCTGTGTATTGCTGGGCCGGTTTTTTTTAGTTGAAGATGATCCACCCTTCAACACCCCGCATCTGGCAATCTCTTTGCTCTACTCAACGCCATTGAAAATAGATCTAGACAGAGTAGCCGTCATTTGCCAGTCTGCCAGAGAGCTCCCTGATAAGAGAAGGCGAACATGCCCAGAGACCGAATTAGCTCCAAACACCATCTGCCGTCATGTTCCTTCTGATTTTCCCGCATTATTCCATTGATCATCCAGCATATTCACCGGTGATCTGGACTGGGTTAGCATGCCAACAAATCCAAAACCAGCAGCGCCTAACTCAAACGACACGTGGGTTTTGACAGCAAAAGAAGAGCCTCTTCTGAGTGCGATTCTGAGATGTCGATGGAAGACGAGAGGGGCTTTGCGCTGGGAACCGGCACCCAAAAATTCCACGGCCAGCGATGAAGGGCAAAAATCGACAGTTCAATGGCGAAACATTTCAAATTTGAACTCAAAGCAAGACGGAGGCCGCTCTTCTCTGAGGACGTTCAACCCGACCTTGTGGAGGGAGTTCATAGAAATTGAGGGCTCGCGGTCCATTCAGTTCTTACAAGCCCTGCTCGCCGTGTAGCCACTAGAATCGTGCCAATAAACGACCATATTACCGTTGGTCTCCTAACGCTCCTACCTGAGGTAGCGGCAAAAAGTTTTACGCACAACATAAACAGATTTTCTAAACAGAAATCAAATCTTTTCAATGAGGCCTAGGAAATTCCGAAGGAAAGGCAGCGACCAACCCATCATGCGTGGGCGATATTTCTTACATGGTAGATGTGTAATTCGGTTGGGCAAGCACTACAGATAGAGAACAAAAAAATTCAAATCAAAAATAGCCGAAGTGATTCAATAATTATGGGACAACCTAATACCAGAGAATGACTGAAGATTAAAATTGCAGACAACCTTTATAACCTCACATATACAGGGGTGGCGTATTTGGATCAATCCATCTTCGTATCACAACATCCACCGACCGTATCGTCCAACCTTCGCCCTTCAATTATGATTTTAAAATTTTGATCATATTTTTTGATAATACTTCGATCATAATTTATTATCGGTCGCTATGTGAAAATTTCTGATAATATTCAAATAAGAATAAAAACGAAAAAATAATTCTGCCACATTTCCAAGACGTGAGAGAGGGGAGGGGCGACTGCCAAATGACATCTATAGCTAAAACCCACTACAATTAGTATTTATGCTGGGACGGCGAAGAAAGCTTGATAAAAGATCATTATTTTCCACAACAAATTTCTGTAGCCTAATTTCCGACTGCAATCTTTATTGCGGAAGAAAATAAAACCATAATATAAAAAAATCGAAAAATTATAGCTATTCGATTGGTTCACTTCACTCACTTAGTGTCATTCTCAGTGAACGAAACGCCCCTGACGGACGGTGACGATTTCAGAGTGTCGAGACTTCGCGATTCGAAAACGGATGGACGACGAACTAACTGAAAACTACAGCAATCAAATGTAAGGCGATCTTTGTGGCACTTCGCTTCGCTCTATGGCATTGTGTTCAAAAAATATTATAGGTAATCAAAAGGAGATCAGAGAAAGATGTGGAAAAAATTTAGCAGAGCATATTATCAGAAATATATACATTGTCACAGGAATACGGTGGCATTGGGCCAACTGCTTGCTCAAGCTTGAAATCGAACGAGTCCGCACCTCTCGCTTTCAGCAGTTGTGGCCTGTGGCTACCATTTCAACGACTATCCTGGGCACGGCTTCACCTAGTCTCAAGCTCAATCGTACCCCAGCTGCCCCCGTAAAAGGCAGGGTGCGGGTTTCGCTCACCGGCCGGCGCTTCGAAGACTTTTTCCCATAAGCCAACAACAGTCTCATGATAAGTATCAAATGGCTAACTGCGGTCAAAAACAGTACTTAGCAGTAGAAAACAAATCAGAACAATATATCATATTAAATGAACCTTGATGAGAAATTGGAGAGAAAGTGAAAAGGAAGCTGTCGGAAAATCTAGTATTTAGAAGGCGAAGGCATTCCGAAGGCACAAGGTACCGTTGCACCTTTTCCGCTTTTTTTCAAACCGTCTCGCAAGTAAATCGAACTTCATCGAACATAAACTTTGTGTGTTGCTGCGAACTGGATAGATAGTATCGGACGTGTAGGCTTCAAGTGATAAGTAGGCTACTCCCCCGCAAAAAATCACTGACATGTGCGCCAAAACATGCTTATCAAATGAATTCTGATTGCTCGATTGGAAGTCGAAAGGCGAGGCGCAACCAGCGTGATGGAATCTCCACGACAAAGAATTTCGTTCAATCCGGTAATGCAAGGAAACTAATAACATTAATGAACACTTCCTCTGTTTTGCCATAATTTTTTGCTATGAAAAGTTATTGAAAACACCAGTAAACAATCAGCAAGTAATGACTTCGAAATTTGAGCTAATACACCTCGGAAAATAAATGGTTATGCGAGAATATCAATTAAATCGATATCGATCAATAACGAAGAAGATGAGAAAACGCCTGTTCTTAGACTAGTTCCATAACAGACCGTGACGTTTTTGACGAATACAGTACAACGGGACTGCCCCGACCTTTTACATCAATGAGGACAGCGCACTATTGGGTGGTGTTTATTGCTATTATAATGTGTAAGGAATCGAACCAGTTCCAAGACCGATAAAGAGTACTTCGACATTGATCAAAGTCTTTCTTGGATGCGCTATGCGTTCGACTTACTTTTGGAACTATACGCATGGCGCACAGTGGACCTGGTCTACACAACAACAAATCAGTAGAGACCCAGCTGACGCAGTCTATAAGGCTCTGTCTAGTGGCATGAACATCTCGCTGATCGTCGGCTTGAGAAAATCGAATCGATTGAATCTCTAGTCATCCAAACAGCTCGGGACGCTGTTTCGACATATGCCTTCGTGTATCATACATGTTTAATGAAAGGAATGGATTTTTCCGAGATCGAGGAATGTGCTAAGGGCTAGGAAGTGCTTCATTGCACCACAGATGCGGCTCGTAGACTCTGATCAAAGGTAGTGATCACGATGGCCAGAGGACGGTGTGGGTCGATTACGCCAGCAAAGGTCATTGGTGGAGCAGACACCTCAGCGCACTGGGAATGTAGTTTGGACCGGCTCTCAGCGCTCTTCTACCGCCGACGTTGAACGACGTCATTGGCCGCGACCTCCTCCAGCCAGCCTGCATTTTCGTTCCAAGCCCGTTGCTTACGCTCGTTCGCATCTCAATTTATTGCCATGCATATCTCAAATATTCAGTTCTGCGCCCAAAAGTTTCGTCGCCGAACTTCTTCGACTTCACGTACAGCAGTTTATTTAGCCATTTTTGAATATGCTTGTGTAGGTTGCGTGAGTGGTGTAGTGGCAAGTGGCACGCTTACCACGCGAGCGGTCCGGGGATCAAATCCTGGGTCGTGAGTCGCCCGGGCCAACCAAGCCTTCCATCCCTCCGGGGTCGGTTAATTGGTACCAGACTTGTCTGGGAGGATAAAAACACTGACTTGTACATCGGCTGGCCCCGCAAGTCATTGTATAGGCCACATCGCATTCAAACGCCACTACGAATGTACAAATGGAAGTAGAATGCGTGCCGCATCCCAAAAAGGGATTGATCAACGGCAAATGCTTTATCCTTTATCCTTTATGGTACGAATAGCGCATTACGTGGAGGACCTTGCAACCGAATCGTTCCTGCCCTAGTTGGCTTTTTCGAGTTCAAATGACAGGAGAAAATAGTCATTTTTAGCGCTTTTATTCATGATCCTCTATGGAGCCGAAAAAAGAGTGGAGCCAAACATAATATTTTGCTATTAACATACATCTTCCGTTAACACTGCCGCACCACGGTCGTATGACAGTGAGTTAATTGTATTTGTTTCAATGTGCCCTTATTTTTAGGTGCTCGGTGGAATCGCGAATCTTCACACGCAAATCCCGCCTACTAAGAGCAAGCTGCAGGCGGAGTTGCGCACCTTTGCGCAGTTCATCTCAGTGCTTGCCATTTGTATGGCTGTAGCCATGTTTCTCATCGGATGCATCGTTGCCAAGTAAGCGAATCGCGTTGGTCTAGTCATTCTTTTCAAATTTATGCCTGCTTTGTGAGCCATAAAAACTTTGGTTACCATATGGTTGAAAAGGTCTCATGGAAAAATTAAACTCTGCTGTTTCAGGTTCGAAAATGTTCTGGATCATTTCGTTATGGGCTTTCTGGTAGTCATTGTGGCCAACATTCCACAAGGTCTTCCAGCTACTGTGATGTCACAATTGCGAATAATTGCACGGCGAATGGCACAAAAGAACATTTACATCAAGAAACTTGATCTCATTGGTTGGTTGCGCCGTTTCGATATGTCTTTCAGGGTTATGGTTCGAGCGCTTTATTTGCAAACTATTCTACGCAGTCATTCGGATTATAAACATTCCATAATAGTCACTCTTCCCATCATTATTTTTGTTTTTTTTTCTCCTATAAAGAAATTGTTTCACCAACTTTATAGCATCGTCATCACCTATAGTAGTTGTCATATAATGGGAGCGTGAAAAAAAAAACATCAAAAATGACGGCCTGGCATTGATTAAAGCCACGAGTCAGGATTAGGTGGTCATAGAAGGCCTTTCCATCACTAATATTTCCAGGAATGCGCTCAGAGGGGTGATGCCACACTCCTGACTCGAGATTGCGCGCCGTCAAGGCCTCTGGCCTACTACTTACAGCGATGGGTTCGTTCATCAGCTGGTCCCGCCCACCGCGGGATGTGGTGCGTGGCTGGCCTAACGTGTGAGATCAGCTAGGTTGATTGCCGTATCAACCGATGGAACGGCTGGCATATCCGGAAAACTCGTTTGGACGTGGCTCTCCCCAAGCAAGCCTCCTTCACTGCTAGGGAAGAGGGTTTCGTTTTCGGCCTTGTCGACGGTTTTTTTCGTTTTTTCTCCACTGTCGTTCCACTTCGCATCTCTATACTCAGTTTCATCGCCATAATACCCCTTATTGAGCCCGACTTTTGCCTTTAACCTCCTTTTGGGCCACGTCACCCATTCCAATTTCATTTCCAGTAGTAATAACGGTCGAATGCGATTTGTGCGGTACAATAAGTTGCAATTATCCCAGTTTATGAAACGCTATTTTTTATCTTCCTGGACCAGTCTAAGGGTTTAGTGACCCTGGGGGGCTAGAAGGCTAACCTGGAAGAAGCGTT